AAAAAAAAACATCTGTTTTGTTTAATAACATAATTCATGTAATTATTTTAAAATGTGCATTTAAGACAAAGATATACATGGTGGAACCAATGGTTGTGTGTGTGTTGTTGGTTTGAGGTATCCTCACCTTGATACTTCTGTTTCTCTGCTCACGGGCTGAGTGGTTTATGACCTTTTTACAGCCACCAATGTGCTCAAAGTCAGCAGTGGTGAAGAGGTTAGAGAAGGTTAGCCTGCGATTGGAAGGCCGTCGGATCAACTCCCCGGACCAACAACAAACATCAAAATGTGGGTGGGAAAGGTGAAACACTCACACCTGCCTCCACCCTTGGGGCGACTGTGGCTGAGTGGTTAGAGCAGTCATCCTCCAATGCAAGAGTTGGGGGTTTGATGCCACCAACAGTCACATGCCCAAGTGTCCCTCGGCAAGACACACTGAACCCCTCATTGCCTCTGATGTGTGTCTCAGTGGTGTATAAATGTGATTTAAAGCACAGATTATTCTTTGTATAGATCTAGTAGAGTGCTGTATGAATGTGTAAATGAGGCACAGATTGTGTTGTAAAGAGCTTTGAGTATTTGATAAGATAGAAAGGTGCTATACATGTATAAGTGCAGTCCCTTTACCATCATTTGCTCCACTCTGGGCACTTGAGCAAAGCACTTAACTCCCACCATCTGCTCCTCCAGGCACCCTAGATAGCAGCTCTCTGCTCCACACAGAGGGCTGTGGTAGCTCGGTGGTTTGTGGTTGTGTCAGGAAGGACATCTGGCATAAAACCAACTGCCAAGTTTTCATGCGAGTTAGTTCACTGTGCTGATCCCTGAAGAAGGGAGCAGCCGAAAGAAAGATTGTGGTCCAGGTATGCTCATGTCTACTTCTGTTTCTTTAACATCTAATACATTTTATTTGTGTTTTGCGTATATTTGTTACTATCACTGTTTTATCTGGCAAAAAAATTCTCAGAAATTACAAGTTTGTTTCATCTTTGCATTCACATATCAACATCTGATGTGCCAGATTTAAACATCAGAAAATAACTTCTTGGTTTTCTTCTGTTCTACCTGCAGGTGAGATGATGGTCGTCGATTGGCTGGACCTATCGAACCAGTACCAGCAGTTAATCTGCTGTCTGTTTGATATTATCAGAAAGTTGCGTTGGATGGACCAGGGGCTGTAAGAAGGTCCAGTTGCAAACTGAGTTTGGATGAAACGCTCATGTGTTGTCTTGTGTAATTATAAATGAGACTGGTTGCTTCTCCTGGTCTGTTAGTAAATAAATATTTGACGTTATTTTATAAAGTTCTCACAGAGTGCACCATGACGCACATGGCCAGATAAATGACTAAAAATATGGCAGTAAACTGAGGCAGTTAAAATATCATAAAAGTGTTTCAAGAGACAACAGATAGAAATTTTTTAGGTTTTATATTTTAGTTTTTATCAAAATGTTTTCAAACTTATATAACCCCAGTAACCCCCCCCAAAAAAAAAAAAAAAAAAAAAAAAAACACAACAACAACAAAAAACATGCACACACACTGCTGAAGTTCTGTTACTGACTGATCTGAAACAAAGTGCAGTGAATGGACTGGGTCAGATGTGGATGCAGTATGACAGCAGATCTTTCAGGTTCTGTCTGCAGAATCAGGACTTTCTGGGTGTGGTGGATCAGGTACTGGTTTTGGGTCATTGTAGACCAGTGTCAGACAGAAACTGGTTTTAGTCTGGTTACTCATCAGAATCATCTGCATGAACTCACCTGAAACGTTCAGCTTGCCCCCCAGGAACCAGTTGATCCTGCCCCGGCTCAGATCACAGTCCTGGACCTGCTGGAACGGTTCTACCCAGTGGAGTCTGTCTGCGGCTGCAGAGCCCCAGAACCGGTCTGGGTCGGTCACTGAGAGCCGGTAGAGGTCCTGGTGGGGCAGCAGGGAAAGCTGAGAGGTCCAGGAGTCTGGAGGCGGAGGGTGGAGGGAGGACAGGTATCGACCAGGATGAGTCCGAGTTTGTCCAAGTGTTGTGCAGCGGACCAGCTGGCTCCAGAATAGTCCTGCCCGGTAGCTCTGAGAGGCCATGTTGATCCAGTGCTGTCAGTCTGAGACTGACACCACTCCCCCTCTGCCACAGGTGCACAGGTGCTGTAGAAGCTCAGGGGGCATGCTGAAAGAACGTGCTGGTTGTCCAAAGGTAGTTTTGTTCAGGAATGCTGCACTCCCATCTAGAGGTGGTCCTTCTTACTCTGTAAATGTGCTCAGAGGTCCGATGAACTAAAGATTTTAGAGGCGGAGGAGCAGAACCATGTATGATTTTAAATACCAATCGTACATTTGAAAATATGTTTTCAAAACTCAACAACTTATGTCCACAAAGTAAATTAGAATGGTGATACTGTTGTGCATTCCTATACAAGACTTTCGGAGCTTGTTAGCTAGTTGAGACCAGCATGGGTTATTAGAAAACATGTGACAGAATCAGATCATAAAAGACAGTTTTAGAAGTGAACTTCTTGTACATTTAAAGTTCACAAGGTTGTATCTCAGCTCATCTGTTTTACATATTTTTTAAAACCTGAGTGTGATGTTAAGACCAAATATCTGAACTCAGTGACATTTTTTATAATTTCTCCCCTAATACTTATATTTGAATCATCCTTGTGTTTTTGTTTATTAGTAAAATACATCATAGCTGTTTTTCTTACATTGAGGATAAGACATGATTCATTTAGCCACAATAAAATGCTCTCCATGGCAGCCAATAAGTTAGCTGCCCACTAACCCTCCTCAGTGTCTTGACTGTCATCTGCATACATTTGGATTTTGATCTCCTCCTCTTAAATTGATGGGAGATCATTTATGTAGAAAGTAAACTGCAATGGGCCTAAAACAGAGCCTTGTGGTACTACCATGCTGAAGGCCCTTTTTGGTGATTCCACTTCATTTATACACACACACTGGGAGCGACCAGAAGGATGTGATTTTATCCTGGTAACAGTATTTATGGACAGTTTACATCTTAGCTTAGAAATAAGTTTGTTTAATCTTTTTTCAATTCATTTTTGATTTTTTACAAACGAACAGAATATAAAAAAAGAACACAAAGAACAAAAACCCCTCCCCACCCCCCCCCCCCCCACACACCGAATCAGTCCAACATACACAAACAAACAGGTACCAACATGTTTTCAACATAAAACAAAAAAGGCTGCCGTCCCAAAATCTTTTTACAGAACCCTTCAGGGTATACAGTTGTAGCACGAAGCTGCACCCCTCTAACTATGACCTGACTCTTGAGTCATCTTCCAGACTCACCATGAATTGTGTTCTTTAAAGTTACATTTGACCTAAATAATGCCTGATGTTTTCACACATGCACCGTCCTTGGACACAGAGTCAAATACAGTCCGACTAATATTTATCTTATTTTTCCTATGTTTCTAAGAAAGAAAAACAAATCATTAATAAAGTTTGTTTTATTTGATTAATAAGTGTGAACATGAATAATTTTGATTGTTGTTTTCAATCATTATAATGAAATCATGTGAAATATTATAATGTGTTTAACATATTTCTGTTGTGTTTTTCAGAAAGTGATTATTTATTCAGACACAGTTGTTCTAAAAGTTCTTTGAGCTGGAGTGGTTTGCTTCAGCGGGGAAGTCATAATGTTCCTGAGAGTAGTCAAAACAATCTTCTCCGAGCTTTTGTTTTACACAAAGTTCCTTTGTGTGGGAGAGCAGTTCGTTTTGGACTCCCAAACCCGAGCAGCTTATTTTCGGCTTCGAATTGGGCAGTTCACCTTGGACTCCTGAACTTGGACAGTTCATCTCGAGGTCCACTTGTTCAGTTCTGAGCAGATAAACATGTTGCCCAATTACAATTTGTACAAAGCAAAATAGAACTCCAGAAGATGAAGTATTTTTCTCACTGCAAAATTCACGTTCTTGGCTGAAGGTTGCGATGGGCAGCACCTTCTCATCAGCTGTGGCTCTCACAGACCCCCGAAACAGTCACACTGACATCCAGCTACCTTGGGCAGTTCCTGGCGGGTCCTGCTCATTGTGCATCCTGGTCTGCTCCACCAGAGAGCCCCAGAAAGACGAGTGACCTGGTGCCTTCAACACCGACCTGGTAAGGAACAGAAACCTGGTGACACAATGCCTTGGCCTGGCTATGCCATTTTAACTGATGCAACTTGGTCAATCATTTCCTGGCTTGCAGGGATAATAAACGATTTATCTGATCACATTAAATATCTTATGTTAACCAAAATACTGTAGTGAACTAGGCCTCCGATCAAAACCTGCCTCTGAAGACCTTCATGGGACAGGAACTGTTATTTCATTGATTTGCATCCAGAAATACAAATTAGCTCATCCAGAGACTTTCTAATTGTATCCTGAACTAATCAATTGAAAGAGCACTCTCTTTTTTATATTATCATTACTATTTTACAATATCTTGATAATCAAAAGTGTGTTTAGTTCATACCATTTTTAAATGTTGAAGTGAACCACTCATTTTAAATCAACTGTGAAACAGTATTAATGATTTTTTAATCCTCATTCAAATTAGAAATCAAGTTAAATGTCTATTTTACAAAGTAATTATGCATTTTTTGATCTTCTGTCTGAAATGAGAGAGTGATGTCGGTCAAAAGTCGGAGACAGTCGAAAACAAGTTGTTGGAACAAGCTGTCGTGTTTTTAAAGCTCTTAGACAGTAAACAAGAGAACTGGCACCTGCAGTGTTTCTCACTTCGTCAAAACATTTCTCTGTCTGTTCCTAAACATTTCTGCTGTTTTCTCGACTTGTAAAATCCCTTTGACATCACTAGAACCACACCCCTGTTGGTTGCTTCAACTAATCAGGACTTACTACAAGTGACCGGAAGCAGAACTCTTTAAAAGTTGACACTTCCTGGAACTGTTAGTTCCTCTGAGTTCCGCTGAGTCTTTTGAGTTCTTCTGAGTCTCTTCTGAGTTCCTCTGAGTCTTTTGAGTTCTTCTGAGTCTCTTCTGAGTTCCTCTGAGTCTTTTCAGTTCTTCTGAGTCGAGTTGGGACTATGGAGTCTTCCACATCTGAGTGGAACCTCTGACGGACTCACAGCTCATGTGAGCCCACCCGGGAGATGAGCGTGTTTGTTGAACGGAGTACCGTCACTACTTCGGACGATTCTCAGCCATCCTGACCTGAGACGCTGAAGGTAGCGTTGAAATTGAACTCTGTACCGGAGCTGACCTATCTTCTGCAAAGGTAACGAGTCGCTTCACCACCGAGTGTACCGGGGCTGAGCTGGGGTCGGATGAAGGGTGCCATTCCTAGTCAACACACTTTCCCTCATCCATCTTTTCTTTCCATTTAAACTTCTTAATTTCCCATCTTTAAACTTCTATCTTACCAGTAATTAATCCAGATATCTTCAGAAATGTCTGTTGTTTTTATTAAGTAAAACGTGCAAAGTTTTATTAATCAGAAGCAGATCAGTCTAATCAAGTGTACAATGTTTTGATGTTAAATTTTGATTCTGTTAATAAATGACCACATTTATTTTGATGGGTCAAAGAAAATTAACATCTCATGTCACTGATTAAAACATCTACGCACAGTACCTCTGTCACATATCTGTCAAGTAGCTCGAAAAAGAGAGAACCCGTTATTTAAATAAAATTGTAGTGTAGCTGAAGCTAATCGAGCCTTCTAGCACACTACATCTGGTGGCCCGTACGGTCTCTAAAGAGCTTCTCGTGGTCCGCATGGTCTCTAAGAGAGATAATTGTGGACCCATCCTCCTCTTTAGACATTTTGTGGCCGTACGAATGTTTAAAGAGGTGTGAATTATGTGACGGAGTCTGTGTTATTGAGATGGACGCTGCGTGTTGGCATGGTTGTCCGTATTTCTGAGCTTGAAGGGACATGATAAGTCGTGCTTGTGGTGTTCAGAGAGCTGAAAGTAACGTCAATGTGTTCATTTTAAAGCTGAAAATTGTATATCTGTTGTGTAACTGATGCTGACATGCTGTGGAGAAAGACGCTTTATTCTGTTTTGAAACTGTGGCATGACCGGGAGGTTCTGCTGTCCGACTCGGTTCTGTTACTGGACTGAACGCACAGTACCTCTGTCACATATCTGTCAAGTAGCTCGAAAAAGAGAGAACCCGTTATTTAAATAAAATTGTAGTCTAGCTGAAGCTAATCTAGCCTTTTAGCACACTACAATCCAAAGTAAACTATTTATTAAAATAGTCAAACTGTCTAAATTCATGCACGTATAAAACTGAAATAACTCCTGTTCAAAAAGTCAATTTTGCATTAGCTAAGAGAATTGAGAGAGTCAGAGTTTCTTTGTCATACGCACTACATGTGATACATGTGGTCGAACAAAATTGTGTACACAGGATTAAGCCATGATTCATTATTATTGTTTGTTTATTATTGTTCTTGATTTTTAGTTTGATTATTTTTGTAATCAAACTTCAAAGACAACGTTGGCCTCTTCATTCGGATAAATATTCATTTGTTCTGGTGTAGAACTCACTGTAATTAACAGATTCTACTTCAGTGACTGATTCTGATTATTAAAGGGTGAATATATTAATTAAGCTGTTGTTGGTCAGTAAACTGACCAGCTGGTGCCACACTTTAACGAGAGCTAAATACTTAAAATAAATGTAGTGAAGGGGAGTGGAGAAAATGTCACCCTTCTTCCTCCATCTCAACTTCGTATTCACTACACAGTAGTCCCTCGTAACTTTGCGGTTCATTTTTTGTGGTATATTAACGGAATATTAATGATATTCGCTATATCGCTATAAAATAAGCTGGAGACAGCAATACATGCATTCATAACATCCAGGCTCGATTACTGCAATTCGCTCCTGTTTGGTATCGGTCAGACCTCCACTGCATGACTACAACTGGTCCAAAATGCGGCAGCCCGATTTTTAACAAGTTGAGGCAAAAGAGAGCACATTACACCAGTTTTGGCCTCCCTGCACTGGCTATCAGTTCATCTTCGAATCCAGTTCAAAATAATACTGTATGTCTATAAATCACTGAACAGCTCTGCACCCTCCTATC